CATCCGCCCCACGCGCACACAGCCGGGGTCGGCACGCCTCCGTGGTGTGAACCCCAGCCCCGTCGGCCACGCGCAGCGCTGGCCGTCCACCCGGCAGCGGCCCTGTGCCCCGCCATCCCCACGCAGGCGCATTTCCACAGTGGCCACCACCTCTCTTGGTTCCCCGTGTGGCGGCCAGCGGTGCTCAGTGAATACCTGTCACTGGTGAAGAGAATAAATGAGATAACACGGAAAGTGACTAACACAGAACCTGACACTTAGTCCCCAACTCCGAGTAAAACTGCCCGCCTCTTCTTTACACTGACCGGGTTCCTGTTGCGAGATCCATCCTCGCATCTAAAGCACATTTATAGCCATTGATTTCAACGCTGATCTCTACTTAACTGCTGACTAAAGTCCGTAAGTATAAAGTATTTATTTTTAAACGGTCGGCATTTTAAATCCTGCTTCACACACAACGTCCTCGAGGAATGTGGGCTGACTGAATGAACGGGGAGATGAGATTTCAATTCAGTGTGATAAAGGCCAAAATCTATACAAAGGACAAACAGGCGCACAGAGAAAGAAATGCCAGCTAACGCTCTGGAAAGTTATGGAAACCACATGAAGGATTTAAAATGTGAGCTCTATGAATGGAATCTTTCAAAAGAAAGGGAAGAAGTAGCACAGACCAAGAAAAGGAGGCATTTCACATTCCTGACAGGTGATTCATCCAGGACACGGACTAAGAGAGAGAAATAGGAACGCTGGGGTGGCAGTGGCTGCGGGGGCCACGTCACGGAGGCCCTGGCATGCCACCTGCCATGCTCAAGGGCCGGGCCGCCTCATCTCATAAGTGACTGAGCAATAACGAAGGATTCTGAGCCGGTGACCACAGTGGGTTCCAGAATTCTCTCACTCTGGTAGCAAAAGTGAAAGATGCCTGTCCAGTGTCGAGGAGACCGACGGGGCTAACTGTACTGTCCCCAGGCAATGGACGCGGGTGCCGACGTGGAAGCATCCGCAGCGATGATGGAAGGGGAGGCCGTTTTGAAAGATATTTAGAAAACAACCGACAGACACCACTTGGGACAGGGGTAAGGGATGGAGGAGTGGACATCTGGGGCAATTCTCCAGTTTTCCGCGTCGAGTGGTCCAGTAGGGAGGAACGGCAGCAGCAGCCGAAGCAGAGAGGGGACAGAAAGCCCAAGGCAAGAGGAGAAACGATGCCATGAAGGTGCCAACGCGACGGACAAGTGGAAATGCTCAACCAGCCGAGCCGACGCTGCCAGCGGACCTAGAAGCGGACCCTCCCTGCAAAGGAGCTCTTCAAAGCCACCAACCCTTCTCCAAAAGCTGGACATCTTCACCTGTTAGATGCAACGCCATCCGAGCCCTTCTGCCTCTCACCTGGGACTCGCACAGGCCATCGTTGTCACCTCTCACCATGCCGCCGACTCTCTGCACAGAGGACAATCTTCACTGCTCTCCAGCACCCACGTTCCACTCCCCCTTCCTAACGGCGTCCAGCTTTTTATTCACACACCCCAGCCCCACACAACCCGTGCACTTCGGGTCAAGCTGACTCAGTCTCCTACCTCAGGGGCAGACCTTGGGTGACTTCGGCCAGCAAACGTTCTCTGCCCGGGCCAAGGTCACTGGTGTACTGTTAGGCGTGTGGCTTAAACAGCCCAGCCGGGATGATTCTCAAGACTCTTGCTTCCAATATTCAGATGGAAGTTCTTTCTTCGACAAGAATAAACAAGGAAACAGATGTAACACTGTGTTGTTGGGACATTAGGGTTCTTACAGCAATTAAATGAGCCAGTATATATATTAATGAATATTTGCTGAATGACTGGGAAGTACCTACAGCATTTTAAGTTCTCGGGAAAGGCGAAGCTTTATTATTTGGACTTACTGGAGTAAAGGCGGTAACAATGGAAAACCCCAACTGGGCTTGAGACAGACCTGGGCTTGAGTCCCGACCTTGCCAACCAAGATAACTTCAGAGAATAACTTTCCCTATAAAAAGGACAAAATAACCGGCCTCTCAGAGACTCGATCTATAAAGTAAATTACAATAGCAGCACCTGTCTAATGGGAGCATTGTGAGGCTTAAACAAATTAATGCACCTAAAATCAATAGGACAGTTCTCTGCTCACAGTGAACTACTATTCATTCGACAAATATCCATATACATTATTATTCATACTATCTTTTTAAGTGGTTGAAGTACTTCATTGACTCGAGATAATAGCTATTGTCCATTTCGTCAGGTCTGTACTAAGCACTTAACGAGCGTGATCATTTTTACTTTTCACAACAACCCTATGAGAAAGGACTATTGTTGTTGCATATTACAGATGAAAAGAAGTCAGAAGTAATCCAAACAAAAGACCAAAGGTAGCCCAGATGATTTAAGCCCTCCCTGAGAGAACCGAGCTCACCCTGGACTGATAGAACGGAGACTTGCTACTTCTTCCCGGGCTGTATTTTTCTCCCTGTAAACTTTTTTTTGGGGGGTGGGGGGGAGCGGGGAGGAGGATCTCTTACATACTGGGATGTTGAAACCTGGCACTGGGACCTCAGAAAACAGGATTTTTCTCCGTGTTTATAGCAGGTGTTGGAGCATACTGGAAACTTAATTAAGACTTAAATGTACAATAATACTGGATTCATTTGTCTGCTTAATTTCAGATTTAGATTTTTTGTTTGTTTTCATTTTGTTTTGGCTCTGACTAATGCCCTTTACATACCATTGCTAACCGGGCTGAGATATTTGTTTAATTACCCACTTCAGGTTTTAAGAGATAAAAACTCAGAAAACATTAGATCCGAAGCAGACCTTAGAAATCGTCTATCTAGCCCAGCGGTTTACAAATCATTGAGGAAATGAAGAACTCCTTCTCTGTAACCAGCGACGCTTCACTTTATTTGTTCCATAGAATGAGCTTTCACTGAACGTTTCTGTGAAGCCAAATTCCATGAGAAGTGTATGTGTGTGTTTGTGTTAAACCACCATGCTGATCCAATAAGAAAACTTTAATCACTCATTTTCACACTTTACCCATGTGGGTTAACTCCATCGTGTGCCAGAGGGTCCGACGGCCAGTGGAGAAGAAGAAAAAGACGTGGCCTCCACCTCAAGACCCACGCGGTGTGATCGGGAAGGCAGACATGCCGAAATAAGCATATCCGACGGCAGGCCGGCCACCGCAGAAGCCTGCAGGGGGCTGCGAGGACGTGGTGGCGGGGGGTCAGACACGCTCTTGGAGTGCAGGTCACCCAGAGTCGAGCCCCAGAAATAGGCTGGGAGAAGGAGGAAAATTCCAGGCAAAAGCAACAACAAATGCTAGCAAGAGAGAAACGGAGAGCTCAGAATGACAAACAACTGACAAGGTGGGACTTTGAGATTCACTACATGTGACAGGTACTCAGTAAATAGCTGGTTAACTGATTAACTAATTAATTAATCTAGAGGAAGCAGGCCATAAAAGTGGCTAAAAGTCAGTTCATGAAGGGGCCCATGAGCCTACACAAAAAATTTAGATTTTATTCTCTAAAGTAGGAGTTGAAAATGCAAATGTCTACACAGATCTTACAGGAAATGTGAGTAAGTGGGCCGGGTGTAAAACAACTGGAAACTGTGAGAACCGTGTACAGAGCACCTGCCTTATACAGGTACCATACAAGGTACTGTCAGCACATAGGTGTCCAGTATATGACCCCGGCCCTCGGGCCACACGCGTACACAGTCCTCACGATATAATGTGACGCTTGGCTCCGCTCAGGAATGAAATACAGTGTGATCGTAGAAAAGGAGCTTTTTTCACTGCATCTGAGGAGACTGGGACAGTGTCGCTGATGAGGATGCATGTGAGCCGGACGTGAGGAAGAACAGGAGCTCGTCTCTCTACTTCCGGCTACACCTGAATGCCCTTCAGTCCAACCAGGCCCGTCACCTCACTGTCCCACAGCACCCCGCGCTGTTACGCCCTCTCCCAAGTCTCTGACTCTGCCCAGGGTGCCCTGCCTCCTGTCTTCGCTTCTCCAATTGCCCTTAGAGACCTCGTGAAGGCCTTCCTCACGCATGAAACCCACGAGGACCTCGCAGGTTCCAAATGTCAACTGAGAAAGTATCAGAGGCGAGACACCGCTGAAAGGCATCCGGGACACGACAGAGCGCACAAGTGCTCAGGAAGGCTGGCCGTGCGAGCTGAGACGCTTACTGGTTTGGAAGTCAAGGACTCACCGGCTCTGCGACTTCAGGCACATCTTCCAGCCTCTGTTTTCCTCAGCAGGCTTAGCTCCAAAATGGAGGCTTAGCCTCGACCATCACAGTCTCTTTGAGTTATAAGATTACGACTGTGATTTTGTGAAGAAATGTGATCTCTATTTCCAGTAGGATTTCCACACATCCTTATGGAATGTGACGAGTGGAAAATCACTAACCGATGGTAGCCACTGAAGAGTGTCCTCTCTGTACCATTTTAAATGTCACAGAATTCCTACCGGGGATTTAAGAAACTGCATAGGTCACAGGGTCAGTGCAATAAAGCTGGCTGTCCTGTTGTCCTCTTAACTACTCTGGTCACCTTCTGCTACTCTCAGAATAGACCACTTGCGGCTCCTCCTCGGGACACTTACGATTTCATGGCGGCGAGAAAACAGAAGGCAGGTGGAGCACGGACGCTGAACACGGAGATGACAGAAACAGTGCCTGTGGCGAGCGGCACACGTGAATCAGGGGGCCGGTGAAATTACACCAAAACACTAACTGAAGAGAGTTGTTCGTATGTGACTTCAGTTATCATAAACCCTTTGAGAAGGAATTGTTTGCATTTTATCAACTTTTACTATTCATTCATTTAACTTCATTCCGACTGGCCGTATCAGCTGTACTTTTGGTTATAAACCAAAGAACCAACTCTGGCTGGAGTTAAGCAAAAAGCAAACCTATTGGAAGAACATTATGGTATCTCATGACCTCCGAGAAAAAGTGAGACGGGGAAAGACCAGATCATTTCCAGGGGTCTCAGCAGTGGGACTCCGTGGACCGTCTGGTCACAGAATTCCCTTTAGTCTGACTTCGGCTCCTGTGACTTCCACCCTGTATGTCTAACCCTCCCCATCCATTTCAGTTCGTGGGAGACAGCATCCTTTAAACACGGCTTGGGTCAAATGTCTTCCTTAGGCACAATCAACTCTGACAAAAAACACCTGTTAGAAGAGTAACACATCACAAACGCGGCCACCGGGGGTCAGCCTGTGGAGGAGGGACCGCCTCCAGGGAAGCGGGTAAGGGGATCTAGGAAGCGACCTCGAGAGGTGTCCGTGCCAAACGCACATGCTTTTTCCTGCTGTGGTTTCTTCCCTCTTCTGCTGTGCCCTGAACCCCCACCCCCACCCCCAGTCACCAGACCTGGGTCGTACGGTAGTTACCAAAATCTGTACATCATCGCATACCTTGAGTGGTCCTAAAACCAGTATTATGCCAGAAACCAGATTATCGACCTATGTTCATTTTGAAACAACGACTATCGGTGTTCCCCAGTCGTGGGAATACACCTCATCCCTGGAAATCACGGAACCGTCTCATATCGAACTGCATACTTATGACAAACAGGCCTGTAGACCGGCCTGAATTTTGGCATCTGACTACCAAGGAACGACTTTCCCGAACACCTTACAGGCCTTCAGAAGTGCGAGCCTAACACGCCCAACAGCCGTGTCACTTGGGATAAAACTGCTCCCGACGTTAAAACGAAGACCAGACAACAGACACGCCAGACTCTCAGCTCCCGGCCGAGGACTCGTGAACTTGGCCGGACGAAGCGGCTGCAGGGCAGAGCTCCGCTTCCCAGTCCGGGAATCGATCGCCACCCCTCGGGGCGCCGCGGACGCCGCAGACCGCCGGGTGACCCCACGAGAACCAGCCGGGCGGAGGGCGCCTACACGCCCCAGGATGCAACGCGGCGCCCGACCCGCGTCCCTCCCGGGAACCGTCGCCCTCGCCGACCACCTGTCAGGCACACGCGGTGTCGCGGCCTCCGCGTGTCCAACCTGAACTTGTAAAAACGAAACTGCGGCAGAGAGAGCACGACGCTTACCGCGGAACCGGAC